CCATAATACCTGCGGATAAAGGCAACTCCACGGCAGTTTTAAACACTGAGGACTACCAACAGAAAGTACCCGATCTTCTAGTCTAGACTCAGCAACTTACAAGATACTTCTAGTCTTCTAGTCTAGACTCAGCAACTTACAAGATACTTGGGTGTGACCCAACATTTAATATACCTACTGAAGAAAATCAACCGACTGCTTCTATGAACAAACGGATGAAGTTGCCTTAGGAAGTGCTTTCGGCACTGTGGTTGCAAATTTCCACATGGAAGTTTACGAGGACTATGCGCTCAGCACAGCTCTATTGAAACCTACCTCTTGGTTTCGCTTTGTTGATGACACTTTTGTTTTGAAGAGCCAAGCATTCGAACATTTTTTACGGCACATCAATTCCATTCATCCTCGCATCCAGTTTACCATGGAGAAGGAAGACAAAAGAAAGATGTCATTTTTAGATAGTCGACAGAAAAACTGATTGAGAACTTGGTCACACAGTTAACTCCAATCCTACTCGTACTGATCGGCATCTGAAGAACTCATTGCACACACACATGATGAAACCTTTGTTGAGCGTTTTACCAGGATTTGTGAACCACATCTTCTTAAAGAAGAATTTCGTCATCGAGACGGAGCTCTATAAGCCAATGGGTTCACAGCGTAAGACATCAAGTAATAATTCCCTAGCTTCGGCCACGATCCAGCCAGCAAGTTTAGGCACATTCCATTTGCCTCTCTTCAACAAAGTCACAGACCATTAACAAGCCAACTGATCAATTACGCAACACTTTCAGATCGGCCAAGGACTAAATAGAGCCTAGATATCCGTTGGTTTTTACAGGATTTTCTGCTTCTGTGGCTCAATTTACATCGGAACTACTAAACGCAGTATCAAGACCAGGATAGAAGCACATACGCGTAGCTACCGCCCTATATATCAGATTTATCGTCATTCCGAAGACAAGTACGGGATGTCCTTCCTGAGGATGTTTTAATGATATAATATTAACTACTCTCAGATATTTTTTTTGTGTATGCAGGATATCCACAGGTAAATGACATGTAAGAATAATCTGATCACAGGCATGGTCTTATCAGATCCGTGTTTTTTTATCTTTTTGGCAGGTACCTACAGAATGTCCGTAAGTTTGCAAAATTCGATATTTGATATATCCCTAATAGTTCTAGTGAAATTTGCAAAGCAACTTGAGACGTTGTAGGAAATCAGAAAGTGCTTACAGTTTCGTCGTTCAGGTCACGATTAGAACACCCACAGACATCCTACGGATGATTTGACGTCCCTTATTTGTTCTAAAAGGGTCGAAGTTTATCTTGAACAGAAAGAGAGTTGGATAACTGTAGATGATGAGACTGGCAGTTCACAGAAAAAAATGATATTCAGAGATATTTGCCGATGATGTAACTCCTGTAGAAAAACTGCCATTGAAAAATTTCAAAAAGGCAGTTACTGGAGGAAAAAAGTCAGAAGAGTTCCAGTTCTTTTCAGTATGTATGTACAAGATCATACAAAACTGTTCCAAGAGGCACGATCTGAATTGAAATCAAGTCTTCAATACAATGAAATTCAGCAATTAGCTACAATTATTATGAGTCATACAGTGGATTGGTCGTGAAATATTTTCTCTTTAACTATTTTATGCGATGGTACGTAACATAGAAGGTAGTGATGACAAATTTTAAACAAAATGAACAATAATAGATTTTTGGTATTGCTGCAAAGATCGATTTTAATGGTCAAATTTTTATAGATATGGCAAACTGGGCTAGATGGTATTATATCACCTTTTCAAAAAATATTTTGTCGTAGAGATATTGAAATTTTCCAGAATTACTGGAATTCAACAGTACCTGATTCAAGAGGTGGGAGATTGTAGATTGCAATAGGGTAATCCTAGTTATTTTTTTGTGGTTTACCAAAAATATGAGTTCGAATCTCCTTAATGATATTGACATATCACATATTGCTAATACCCAATGATCACTTACCCCACGGTGTGGGGAGTGGTCATTGGTTGATAATGCTGGCGCGCCCTCCCGAATGTATCGGGGCTTCGGGGGATAGGGCCTGGCCAGCGCACACTACACTTTTTTAATGAAGCGTGTACCTGTCGCTCATTCAAAAATTGGTAGGCGTTTTAATTGAATCACGTGTCAACGAGTGATATTTAGGAAAACTCGGTAAATTCGCATCAGAGACCTATTCTCTCTCGCAACAAGTATGAGTTTTTGAGTGCTATAAATGTATGAAAGATACGCAAAAAGACAGTAAAAGTTGATTCACGTCCCTCAACTCTGAAAACGAATGAAAACATCGTTAAAATCGCCGACTGAGTACATATCTGTACAAATGCCGAGACTGTAGGAATCGATAAGAAAAAAACGGCTACAGTTGTGAGATACCAAGTCGTGGATACCTTACCAGGACAATTTTCAAGTCATTTTTGGGTAAGCATGGGGTTCCTTTGTTGAAACATCCACCCTACTCACCATATCTAGCTCTGTGTAACTTTTTTATGTTCCCGAAAGCGAAGGAAGCATTGAAAGAAACCAGGCTTGATGCAGTGAAAACTGTAAAGGACAAAACGACGAAGACTGGGAACTTGCTTTCAAAAAATAACTTAGGACACCACTGTGTTGAACACTGGAAAATTCGAGGTAAGGGATAATGCAGGGGAGTATTTTGAAGGAGATATGGTGGATATTTTGTAGCGAAAACTTGTAAACTCACTTATGATGTGGAAAACGGCCTCAATTTATGTTCATGTTTTTCAAAGTGTTTATCCAAATTATTTTCTCTTTTCTATGTGAAAATTGGAAAGTTTTGTATTATTTCATTCAGGATGTTTCAGAATTCAGTAGATTATTGATTTATTTAATACATAACTTCCAAACAGAACATTTGCTTGTATAAGGAATTCAAGATGATTGACCAATATTCAATTAGAAAACTTTCTTTGATATTCTTCAATAATTCATGAACTGTTTTGTATCTTTTTATTTTTGCAGTAAATTTATTAAAAATTTCTGAAGAATATCAGATTAATTTTTTCAGTATCATGCATTACATAGAGATGGAAATAGTTGTACCTTTTTTGCACTAAGATCATGCAATTCGGAATTTTTTGAGAATTGAATATTACTTTTCTGGAGATTTCTTAATAATTTATATCTTTTTCAAAGAGTGTTATATTAAATGATTCAAAGTCACATTTTCAGTAATTTTGTACAATTCCAAAAATGGAATATCACATGGTTTTTTAATGACTTTTATAGCTTCAGAATGGAAATCATTGCATTGAAACTAACTATCATTGCTTTTCAACTTGGTTGATTACTTTGTACTTGATTTCAAAATTCAGTTCAATATTGTTCATATGTTTTAATTTGAAAATCATGTAAACTGCCCTTGGGTTGATTGTTGAATTGAGGTCATTTAACAACCATTTTTCAATCTTTTCCATACTTACCATATGTTTTTTTAAACAAATTTATATTTTGTCCTGCAATGAAACCCTTATTTTCAATATTGTAAAAATATTGTATTCATATATTGAAAAGAAAATCTGGGCCAAAATTGAACCTTGCGGAACACCAAAAGTTGAAACTACTTCATCACTTTTACAATTTGTTTACTACAAACTGATTTTGAAAATAATTTGCAAGAGTTGTTTCTATAATTTATTCAGGTATACACTGCAACAACCAGTATTAATTTAGATATATTTATGAATTGGCAAATGGTTTGGTTTTCTGGGCCATATTCCTATTCCGCTGAATACCTTGATTGAAAAACAAGAAACTTGCATGAATTCTTATATTTGCAGACTACACTTTTCATATACACAGTAAAAAAACTATCATTTAATATACTTTCATCACCACATCGATTCAATAAGGCACAATCAATGGTAATACAGCAAAAAACAAAAATTCATACAAACACAATCGATAATACATCATTTCAAAATATATTTATAAGTACGAGTTTGAGATTCGAAATATGAAAATATACAAAAAAACTCAACCTTCCACAAGATTTCAATGAGATCAGATGAAAACTTTAACTATTGAAAGGTACAAAAAAAATTGATTGTTTGTATACCTACTTGATGAATTCATTGATACACTAAATTAACATTTTGTTAATTAGCACTTTTGAAATCTGTCAATTGGTAGCAATTTTACTAAACCAAGTCTAACTTTCTGAAAGAAACTCCGCTTTCAATCTATTATTGGTGTGATACAAATTCAAGTCATGACTTGCAAATAAAAAAATTAACGAATTTTTTCAGTATGATCTTTGATGTCCCTACTATATATTTCGGATGTAACATATTATTTCTGGGCAATAAAAAAAGATATATGGTGATTTTGTCATTTCCTGTTTTGGTATTGTCTGCACAAGTAGTTGGAAAGATACATTTTTCTGTCATTTATCTATACACGAAACAAATTTACTTCCCAATCTGAAAATTGAAAAATATGAGAAGAGAAGAATATGGTTTCAACGCCTGAAAAAATATTCTTTTGGTTGGATAGGCTGGCACAACAATATAAAAAATGTACAAGTCGCTTCGGTAAGGCTTCATGAAGATATTAAAAATCTGATTTTTTTTAAATATCACATTGGTTAGTAATTGCAGACCGGATAATAATTTCGGCTCATACTCTTGCCATGCTGCGAAAATTGAGAAAATATATTAATTGATATTATTCTAGGTTAGTTTTTTCATTTTTTCCGATTTCTTTTGGAATAATCCTGGCACATCAAATTTGTCAAAAAAAACTCGCCTTAGATCAACAAAAATGTTATTCTCAAGCACTAATCCAAAACTATTAATATTTCTTGAAAAATCATAATTACAAAAAAATGGTAGAAATAAAATTGTAGTGGCTAGTTCAATGGCATTTTTTTTAACATACCAATTTCTTTCACTTATTAAAATTTTCTGGAGTTTACCACATTGGAGATCTAGTTGAAATTTCAAATCGATAATTCGTTTCCTTTGAATGCAGTGCAGACAACAAACAGATAGGCAGAGAGACAGATCACAAAGTTCCAATTTTTTTTGGTACGCTTTTGCCAAAGCAACTACTATGAAATTCGGAATAAAAATATAGTTCACAAATCCAATAATTTCAATGATGAAACACTTGTAAATCCATACAAGGTTAACTGGAAATGGACTTGAGTCAAGAATTTTAAATGGAATGTAGGAAAAAACAAACGAGAATTCGGAAATTAAAAATTTTCACTAATCCACGTACTTTTTCTCGATTTTTTTCAAATGCCATATTCCACTTCATTAATCTCGAAAATCTACACTACAAAAAATGTTGGAGAAATTATGCTGTTCATTTTTATGTGCCAGTGAGAAAGTGAGTATGTAGTATTCAAATCATAATGATATTCAACAGCTTTGATACTTTCACTACACACTGTATAGATTTTCAACTAATTTATCATAAAAAATATTGGCTTTGATGAATTTCAAATTTCGTACATCATAAACAATTGAATGGCTCTGCTTACAATGATTTCGTAACCACCTGGTATAAATAGCAAAAAGGTGATAAGTATCAACAAATGGAAAAGAACAGTATTGGTCACATATAAACATTGTGAAAACTCTATTCTTCTGCATTTTTCATTCAAACATCACAAAATTCTTCATCTCAGTATCTGTCGTTAATGTACTAATTGTCGGGAATTAGCTAATGAAGTGTTTTTTATAGTAGAAGTACAGGTTTTGGCTGCCTTTTTCTACTCACTGCTGGTTTGAGTAAATGGACGAAGTGATTAGGCAAAAATCAGAATTTGAAACTTGAATCAAAGTAAAATCTTGTGGAATGTAATTATTTATACAACATAATAATGAGCGACTGATAAAAATGAAGGCATTTTAAAAATACGAAGGAAGGTACTTTCATAGTAGATATCTTGAGCGTAAATATCTAGTTTTTCTTATAGAAAAATATACAAAGTGCTATTTGGTAAAAACTGGGACAGTAGAAACAAGATAAAAAACACAGCACGACCTAAGCTTACACTATGAGTAGTCTTTTCTATTCTGTGATGTTATGAGTTGAAATAAATAAATAATTTGATTGAGAAATATGAAATACATAAATGAGTAGTTTAATTTCTGGAAAATATCTCTCAAATTCTACAAAGGGACTAGCCAGAAGAGCAATAGAGTATGTCTATTGAGCAGTATCAATGAGATATCACAAAAAGCTTCCATTAAATGTTTACGAGATGAAGGGTATAACATTTTTGAAAGTATTTCAAGAGTATTTAATTTGTCATTGGACATCACAAAACTTATACATAGAAATTCTAAAAGAAATCGATTCATGAATAGAAAGTTTTAGGTGGGCCTCAAATCATTCGAATATGTATATACATGATTATAGACTTCTAAAATAGTCTTGAGGAATTGAATTATTTGATATAGTGGAGAATTGTTAAAAAAAATATTTGTTTCATTGAATGCAGCCGATCCAAAGGTTCCAAGCTTTGAAGAACTGATATTTTCAATTCAGAGGATGCACACATGAAAGTAGTTCAAACTATTCAGAGGATGTACATGTGAAACTAGTTCAAACGTTCCAGAGGCTCTGCGACCAAAAGTTCTCATATTTTTAATTCAAAGAGTGCACACTTGAAAGTAGTTCAAACTATTCAGAGGATGTACACGTGAAACTAGTTCAAACGTTCCAGAGGCACTGCGACCTAAAGTTCTCATATTTTTAACTTAAAGAGTGTGAACGTGAAAGTACTTCAAACGTTCCAGATATTCTGAACCTTAAGATACTGATATTTTTAATTCTGAGGGTGCAAACTTGGAAGTAGTTCAAACGTTCCAGAGGCTCCGAGCTTTGAAGTACCGATATTTTCAATTCAAAGGATGCACACGTGAAAGTAGTTCAAACTATTCAGAAGATGCACACGTGAAAGTAGTTCAAACGTTCCCAAGACTCCGAGGCCTAAAGTTCTCATATTTTCAACTCAAATAGTGTGAACGTGAAAGTAGTTCGAACGTTCCAGATACTCTGAGTATTAAGAAACTGATATTTTTAATTCAGAGGGTGCAAACGTGGAAGTAGTTCAAACGTTCCAAAGGCTCCGATCCTTAAAGTACTGATATTTTCAATTCAGAGGATGCACACATGAAAGCAGTTCAAACTATTCAGAGGATGCACACGTGGAAGTAGTTCAAACGTTCCAGAGACTCTGAGCCTCAAGATACTGATATTTTAAATTCAGAGGGTGCAAACGTGAAAGTAGTTCAGTTCCAGAGGACTCTGAGTCGAAAGTACTGACCTAGAAATTATTGCGTGCATCACACCTCAAAAAGAGGTCAATGAATCACTACATTCACGAAACATTTATATTGAAAATAATTCATCAGTTCTGTAACTGAAGCACTCCTGCTTGAGAATGAGTTAAGATACAGCTATGATAAATTGAGATTGACTGTTCTCAACAAATACAATCAGTACATAATAAATAATAAACAATCACAATATTTTCGTAAACAAGTCCATCAAAAGGGAAAAGAGTACACTGATACACAATTAATATGGCTAAATAATTTGTACACTACACTTTTTCTACACAGCACAGCCTTTTCTAATGCCATACAGGACCTTGAGTTCTGGGAAAATGATTTTCTTTATCAGCTGATTCGTTTTTGCAGCCAACATAGATCTCCTAGGGTCCTTTTTGTATACCTTGATGCCCGGTTTGTGAATTAGGAACGCATTGTCCAATATGAGAAAATCGTAATTTAATACGCATAGTGCATATCCCTGGAAAATAAAAATTAAGATTGAGAAACTTACATATGTGTTTGTTATTTCATATTATGAACAAGCTTCTCATATGAGAAAACTGAGATAAATTCACTAATTAAACAAAATGTGAGGTTTTTTAGATTCACCAATAAGTGTAATACTTTATAACTTTATAATCAACTACAAAAACTAAAACAATAATAACACCAGCGAATAAACTGAGCACAATATCAATTTCCACGGTTTATTATAACTAATCCGATGCCCGTGGTACCGTCGAATCCTTTGATACTACAGTACGGAACGGGTTGGATGAGAATCTCATCCTAAGAGCAGTTGAAGGTCTCAGGCAACTTGGGCGGATCACGTGGTGAGAGAGCCTACTGTGCTTGTGTTACAAATTATTCAAAATTGCCAGCCCTTTAGTCAGATCTCTACCTTATATAATATACTCCTGTCTAGAATTATTTGAAAATTGGCACTATTAGAAATGAATAGATTTTAAATTGTGAGTTCTAGGTTTGGGTATTCTTACTCAACTATACATTCATTTGAATATAGAATATATCGGACATGTAACAACAGTAACCTGAGGTAATTAAATGACATTTCCAAGAAACACCACCTCAAAGTGAATCGAAATAAGTGTCAAATCCAAATCAATTTAAAATGCACAGTGCAACAGACTGTTGGTTGACACTGGAAGTCTTCTGGAAATGACCTCTGACTTTATGCCTCCAACTGTCAACTATGAACTGCCTTACACTATTGAATTGTGTGCAGAGACATTGAAAGAATCCAACATCATACACAAGTCAATAAAAATATTCTCGGACAATCATGCGGCGTTGGAAGCTCTTGGCTCCTACCGAGCAACGTCTAAATTGGTAGCAAATTGCCAAAAATTACTCTTCTAGATATTAAGACTTAACAGGTTGTCTCTGGTCTGGACTCCTGGCCATACTGGCCTGGAAGGCATTGAGGCTGCTTATTCCTTTGCAAAGGAGAGTGCTGCAAGCAGCTTCATCGGTTCAGAACCTGTCATTTGCATCGCTTTAGGCTTTGCCAAACAAACATTAAACACCTGGATGGCAAGAAGATTTATGGACTTCTGGCAGAATCTTCCAGGATTGGCCCACTCCAAGGTATTTATTCACCCTGCGAAGCTTGATACCGAACAGTTGTTGAACTACAGTAGGGATGAACTATGATGTCTAACAGGCCTTCTTACAGGTAACTGTCATTTGAATCATCATATGCATGACTAGGACTGTCAAAAGACAGTGTGTGTCGCTTCTGTTTGGAAAATGATCAAACAGCAGAGCATATACTTTGTGCCTGCCCCGCTGAGGATCCAATCAGGTTTTTAGAGTTCTACAGAGCCGTACTCTTACCATCTGACCTAAAAGACCACTCACCATACAAACGAATCGGCTTCGTTAAGAAGCTGGGTTTATTTGGTCAAGTGTGAATAAGTGTGAGCCACAATTAACCCTTGCGGGTTGCGGTGGAGAATCGAATAGACCCACCCACTTTAGACCTAACCTAACCTAAATAAGTGTCAACCTATCTCAAAATTCAATGACTGAACAAAATTTATCTCAAATATTTTGCAAATAGGTAATTAAACCAAACTAGCAGTGGCAAATTCCATAAAAAAAAATCGGAATTCATAATAATTTTGATTAAATAATCCTCCAGAAATCTTTTGATACTCTGGAACTTTCCTGCTCACAGAAATAATTTGTGTACTTCACTGAGCGTTTTATTACTCACATTCCAATACTTTCCTGGATCAACTAATACCTCAGAACATGGAACTTTCATAAATAAAACTGATGACAGTTGAACCAAAAAATTCAAAATTTCTGTTGCAAATGTTTAGAGGCAATTGTTTTCCATATAAGTCTGTAAAGTTTCTATTTCGAAACGGTCAATGAGATTATTACCTTATTACTGTGGTGGGTTCATGGCATTAGGCTATTTTTATTGATTTGTTGCATTGTTGTTTATTTCACCCAAGAATGAGATTTAATTTGTCTCAGTAGATCGTGAGCGAAAAAAAGCAATGGACAGTTGAAAAATGCATCAATTTAATTGTTGTTCGTGTGGTGAAAATTATGGAAAACAGTTCACAACGAAACACGCGACTCAGACTAGTTTTTGTCTGTTCGGTGGAATTAGAGTTTGTTTTCGAAACTGAAACAAGTGGCAAGCGAGTCCGTTTGGTGGAAATCCGTCTTAATCTAATATAGTTATTTATTGTAAAATCATTTGTTGCAGTCTTGAAATTACATTATCAATTTCCACTGTAGAATCTGATAGATTTGTTATCCAGTGAGGACCTTTAATAACATCGAATAAACTCCACTTGGATTTGCTCCATTTTTCAAGGGTTTATCTCTAATATCGATTAAAGGTCTAGTAAAATGGACCTTTCTACTGTTAACAGACCTGTATTACTGACACTATTATAGGTGCATCATTTGCAGACATTATTAGGAGTAGAGTTATTGATGAGATCAAATATCTGTAGAGATGATGAACAGATTAGACCAACTATCGATTTCTGAGGTACACCCATATTTTCATTCCATACAATTTTGAACTGTACTTCTACAGAATAAAAAAATTATGGTTTAATAGTTTCAAAACTCACATTATCTTATTTCTTCAAGGAATGAATATTTATTTTCATATTTTTATATAATCTACAAAAAATAACTTCAACAAACGAACAATAATGTTCACTGCAGTGAAAGTTAGTTGAGAAAATGTTCACCTGAGTCATTTTATCGCTTTTTCCCTCCCAACTCAATCTCTCGTCATACAAAGGATCTGCATGGGTTCCGATGAAAATGGGCTCCCAGTGTATGAATTTTCCATTCCTTTTACCCACATGGAAAACGTGAACGCCTTCAGTTTCGTTAGCGTTCTGCCACTCTTTGGCTTTCGGAACGCTGTGACAGCCGGGACACAGTTTCTTGTGGAAAGGCAATGCAGTACCATTCGCCAGCATTTCTTTTAGTACCGTTTTGGTTTCGGGAACGATTTGGTTAGCACTCACTTCGAAAAGGTGTAAGGGGAAAACCTGCGAAAGGAGAAATAAAAATCAAAAGGGGATAAACTGTGAAATAATATATAGGCTAATAGAAAGTTGAGATACTACTAATGCGTTTCGTAATGAATATATGACTACTTCCTTACAGGTTTATAAGGTTTTTGTCTTCATTGACACCATAGACTTTGTCGAAGCAAGACCTAATGGAGAAGTATGTGATTTTATAAACTACTCCGGAATCTTCACAACCTTCATTTCCAAAAATGTCACTCTGGATATTACTATGGATCTTCATCGAGTAACGGCCAAGTCAATCAGAAAAGATAAAACTTTGTTTTGAAATATAACATCAATAAAAAAATATGATGAACAGAAATGAACATTATTGGAATCTTAGTTTTGAAATTATTTTACATCTATATGACTAGCTGAATATTTTATGCCACTTTCTATTTGAAGAAATTTTTCTTTTGTGCTTGAGAAATTGATGAGTTTTTCCGCAAATTCACTTTTCTATTCCCACTACATTCAGTATATCTGCTCTAATGAACTACTGATTTCACACCCTCTGTAAAACATTATTTTCATTGTGATGCTTTTGACTAACAATTCAAATAAATATTTTGAAAAGTTAACTTTCTGTTTTCATTTTCAATCAATATTAGTATGTGTCTCTGGTGTATGTGTTTTCATTTGGTTAGTCCTCATTTTCGTTTGTACCAATATTAGTAGCGTTACAAAATAAAATTCAATCTTACCATCTAAGTAAGTATTTTGTAGGAATCATGAATGTTGGCGAAGTTTGATACTGCTATGTTGATAGGGAAAAAATCATGAAGTTGAGAGAAATCGTGATAGTTAATTCATAACAGAACCTCATATATCCCAAGGTATCTTTTGTTCCAGAGTCTAGATGATGATCACATTGAAGTCACCCATACAGTATCATACTCTTTTGATACCACTCTCGTACAAGAACATTTTAGGTTTATAGAAGTAAAATCATGAAATTGGGAAAAATCGGGGGTAGTTTACTCATAGCAGAACCTTAGATACCCCAAGAAGTTATTACTGAAGACTATCTTTTGTCAAAAAGTGTGAACTTTTGTGCCAGGGACTTCGTGATCAAATTGAAGAAAGCCGTACAGTATCAAACTCCAGCGGGTTGTGCTACTTTGATACTGATCTTGTACAATGACCTCTTAGGTTCACGTGGGTAAAATCATGAATATGGGAAAAATCAGGGGTAGATAATTCATAACGAATCTTAGATACCCCAAGAACTTATTACTAAACAGTATCTTTTGTTCCAGAGACTTGATGATGATCAAACTGAAGACAGCCATACAGTATCAAACTCCAGCAGGTTATGATATTAAATTGAAGGTATCTATACAGTAACTCCAGGAGGCTAGGGCAGAGTTTGATACTGCTCTCGTATAAGGACCTCTTAGGTTGTCAGAGGAAAAAAAATAAAATTTGAAAAAAATTCGCGTAGATACCTCAAGTTACTCCAAGAACCTACTACCCTTGAGTACTTTTTGTTCCAGTAACTTGATGATAGTTGAACTGAAGACGGGAGGAAAGGAGGCAAAGGAGGATCTCAGTGAGTCGTACCTCCCTTCAAAAGTCTTGTATTAACCAGAAAAGTGAAAGAGTTTGTGAGCACGCGTAGAGGAGATGGATCATAGCTCATAATTGGATGCGACGTCAGGGCACAATATTATAGCAAAATATTTGAAAACACGAAACGTAGGAAATAAAATAAGTGACTATGTTCGGAAATGGAACGTTCTTGGAATCACCGGTAAATGAACTATGCAATCTTATCAAAAACCCCTGTTAGGAATCACACGTTAAAAGGTAAGACCTCGTTAATCCTTAGCTCGCACAAGTTTCGACTTCTGAGGGTTGTCGTTCGTAGGGGTGCGACAGCTGGTTAACGGAAAAACAGATTTTTAAACAGATTGAAACCCTGCTGAATGAACTGGAAAGCCACTGAGGTGGATCTGATAACTAGCACAAACTGAAGGGTCTTAAAATAAAGTATTTCAGACTACGGGAAGATACCATTTGTACATACGATGATTGAAGGGGAAAGGAATGTTTCCTGAAGAAATGAAGACCTGAGACAACAAGCTAAAAATACTTAAAAACCGCAAAACACAATGCACATAAAGCGAGGGTGTGGAACAGGTGCAAGTCTGTGATGAACTCTCTAGGCCTTTGAAGGAACAGGAGGAAATACTATAAGAATTTTTTTTCGGGAATACTTTTCTGGGTCAGAAATCACACCAGTCCTGGAGAAATTCAGAACTAGCGTCCAAAAGGACATTGTTTCAAGACCCATTTATATAAAAGTCAGGTGTATCAACGAAACTTATGCCGAGTTGAAGAAAAAGCCGAATGTGTTTATAAAAACAAGAAAGTACTGTTAGTTATCTATTAGTCTTGGATATTGAGAGTATATTGGATAAGACGTCCTTAAAATGAATCATCCTTAGTGGAAGATTATGAAGGAAACAGTAGTGGCACAGGTAGCAAGGAATTTGTCGTCACTGCTATGGGAGTCTGTAATGAGCTATGGCTTTTCGACTATAATAATGTTGTAAATCACGCCCTAAAGAAAATAACGCCGGCCGCCACTGGTAGCCATAAACCAATCGTGACGCAGCTAGGAGCGCGCAAATGTCCCTGCCGCTCTAGAAGCAACGATAATAGTTCTACCGATTTCGATGGAACTTCGGCAAAATTTCTACTGTATTCTATTTATGATACATAAAGGCTAGCTACGAGCATATCGATATAGTCAAGTGGAAGTTACAGTGCGGTACGCGAAGCGATCTAGTAAGGCGATAGACATTCAAATAATAGTTGAAGTTTTAGTTGAAGTGATTGTTGTATTTGTAGTGAAATAAAGTTAAGTTTGATTATTCAATGTAGTCAATTATTGAACAACCCACGGGGAAAATGTAACAATAAATATGGAGTACTGCTTTGTGTGTAGACCTAGTCCAAGGTAAATCAATACATATAATGAATGTGTAATTGATCGCGGTTTATACAAAGATAGGCTCTATATAAGCATTGTTTGAAAGAATGAAGAATTTGCTTCCACAGAGTAAGGACCAGAATAATCATAGGGCTGGTCATTGCCTACTGTTCAGTGAGAGGATACCTGAACAAAATAGTGGTGTTCATATTTATAGATCACCAAAAAGAACAAGAGAAATATCCAACAAAGTACACGTAAAATTTAGTAAAGGGAACACGACTATTGAAATGAAAAGTTCATGAGAAGATTATTTCCTTCAGATTTTTTTAAAATCTAAGTGTCCCGAAATTTTGTACAGTATCGAACCAATGTTTGACTCAATTATCAACCAAACTCAAATTACCTTCGGATTCTTGCTGAGTAATGGACCCGTGTTTTCGGCAATCATAGCTAGGAACTTCTCAATAATGTTAGGACTAGGATACAGTTCTATGTCTGATGGCAGGATGAAATGGGTTTGGGCAGTCTCGCGGGCAACGTTTCGACCCACGTTCACTGGGTACAGCAGCTTCTTTTGAGCCTTGTACATGTTCTCGCTGGAGACGTTTACGAACGGAGGACTCAGAGAGCAGTTGTAGGGTTCGGTGAATACGCTGCCGTGTTTGGGAACCTGAGAATCAAGAAAATAAATACATTAGCAAACATAAACAATGAATAAATCAGATTAAACTTCTGTTTATTTTCTAGTGATCACTTTTTCTGGGAGGTAATTATTTTTTTGTACTTCAGTTATGTGTGATGTAAAAATATGACAATATGGAAACTATTATGAACCTACTCATAAAACGATATTATAAACAAACTTCTGCAATGAAAACTAAGTGGGTACTTGGCTGAAATTGAAATATTCAAGTGGTACTTGAACCAACCGTAAAACCACCGTTTATTACGTTATTAACAACTTCACATAGCACCTAACAACGATTTGAATTCAAATTTTACTGCCATTCTCTCGTCTCATCGTCGATGCGAATGCAATTACTTCCCAGTATAACCGTAAGAAAAATTAAAATACTGTGTAAAGCTATTTAAAATATCTGTTCGCGACATCCACACCCATCTGGGAAAATGTCAAGCCTAAATTATTGCATTTGCGGGCAACGAGGAATGTTAAAACCGGCGATCGTTTAGTATTTCTCCGGCGGTTTCAATAACAAGCTCTTCGGCAGGTCATCGACCTTGCAAAAACGCTTCTGAAATGGTACATTTTCAGAAAAGAACATTTGTGACATAATAGGCACAATTCTATTTCAATGGCGATTTGAATTCCGACAAGCAAGAACCTTGGAATAACGGGTTGACGGTGTAAAAATAAACACGTTTCTATAAACGTGGGACTTTACCCCGTTCTTGAGTGCGGATAACGATCTGTGAAGTATATAACAACGGCTATCATTATTATTCAACACATACCATACGTTAATTTTTGCAATGCACAAGTCGTGTTCTGATTTTAACAGATACACTAGTTGGTGAATAATTGCTCTTTTACACAAGTGTTTTTTGAAAAAATCTTAATTTATGAATCAGTATACTTAGTATATATGGACGTGCTATAGTGCTAAGACTCAAACTACTATTTTCAATTGTGAGAAAGTTACAAGGGAAAAAATGAACGTATGCATTTCAGACTGAATCAATGGATTTCCAAGTGTCATCCAAGTCTATTAAAAAACTCACCTCTTTGGGCACGTGCTTGGTACTAAAGTAAACGTGGAAGGTAACGAAATCCTTGACCAGAGGACTAGTACAATCCCTCAAGTAAGCAATCGAATCCAGCGTATCGGGAAAATCGCTGCCGGGCGCGTGTAGGGCGATGCTGATTGGTCCCTGCCACCGTTCCAGCAACGGAACCAAATTGTCCATGAAGGAAAAATCTGCGTGCGTCGTATACGTGACGCTTTCGTGGCACTTGAACGTTTTTTCGGCGGTTATGTAGTTGTAGAGGACCCAATAGTCGCCGCGCTGTTGGGTCTTTGGCACCAGAGGTTTGTCCACACACTTCGTCAGCTCGCGGACTTTGTCCAGAACCGTTGGTGGTGGTTTGGGAGTTACCGTTACAGTTGCTAGCTGAAATAAGAAGAAAGACGTTTGTAACCAACTCAAAAATAACCAGAGTGGGGTAAACTTTCACTTCGTCTTCATCAATGATTTCTTGAGTAAATAGTAAGAAAACATGGAGTAGGTCAAGCCTAAGTAGATGAGCAGTAAAAATAAAGAGATATTCGAGGATTCAGTCTTCTGTCGATCCCACAGATGATGCCTTCGTAAGGTGAGATGCCATTAACTTAGTATGCGTGCTGGGGAATGATAGGCAGCGAAAACTGCCTGAATCCCCAGACTGAATAATCAGATCAACAAGAGGTCTCCAGTCAAGCTTGTGATCCAATTATAAACCCGGAAACATCGCCTTCTCTGATGATTTTAACTCTGTTGATATCTACAGAAATAGAGAAGGATCCTTGAATTTGAAATTGAATATTGGTGTATTATTTGAATTCATTGATAGATCATTTGCTGTACAATTTATTGTACAATTTTTCCATGCGACTGATCCTATGCGACTATTTTCACTGATAATAACAGAAGTATCATCAGCGTGTACGGCCACATTTCCTTGTAAAATATTTAGGCTATCATTTGCATGAAATATATACAGCAAAAGACCTAAATTGACCCTTGTACAACCCCCTTTTCTACAATATATTCATCAGATATGAAAGGTATATCTGGTAGAGAGACAAGACTTCAACAGAAGAAGACAAGGAAGATGAAGAAGACGGAAAATTAAGAAATATTCCCAACATTCAATTTAAGACTTAAGGTCTACGATATGTTCATGTCATTTTGAAGAGATCAACTCACCACTTTCTCTGTAGGTTTCTCAGAAGGTTGGACCTTCGTAGGTTCGACAATCGGTACGACGTATTTGACGTCCTGATCCGTCACCTGTTCCTGGTCGAGACCGGAGCCCAGCGCTGCCAGATTCCTGCCGGATTCCTGCATTTCTCTGATAACAGGAACCGCCGTGTTGGTCAACATGTGAATGCACGAGTATATCACGCATGCTACAACCAAGAGCTTGATGATGAAAGATTTTCGATTGCTGTACATTTTTAACGGAGCCGTGTTGGAGACCTAGAAAAAACGAAAATACATTCGAGAGAGCTGAAACCGGAAGAGTCGTAAATTTAGCGGTGCGATGAAGAGACATTCTTGCCAGTGCCAGCAATACAGAATATAATTATGGAATTATTTTCAAAATTAAGCCAAGTTCTTGCATTTTTACTTCGGTGTCAATGCCATCGACTGGTCATTAGCCTTGTGTAGGTTATTATATGTGACATGGGATGATACGAACTCTGTTACATTCAACGTAACCATTGGAGTTCCACAGGGCTCAGTTTTGGGACCAGTGATTTTTCTGATTTATATCAATGATTTACCTCAACATCTAGGTACAAAATTAATATCACTTTTTGCCGATAATACCGCAGTCTCAGAAGGAGCTGATAGTCCTGCGGAACTAGGTACAGTCGAAACTGAACACAATAAGTCGTAAATTTACGAAATGGTGTCACACAAATAAACTTTAGTCAATGCCGACAAAACGGTGTTAGTTCAATTCTTCAACCGAAGACACTTAGAGCCTATACAGGTTGATATAAATAATGTCACTATCTATCCGTCGGAAACCACAAAATTTTTAGGACTTCATTCTGGGTTGAGTTGGCAAGTTCACATAAATTATGTTTGCAAGAGAATCAACATCAGTTTTTACGCATTGATACAACTTAAACAGGTTATGAATGAAGAGCATTTGTTGAACATTTACTATGCGATGGTTTATTCAGTACTATCTTACAATGTGCTTTTGTGGGGAGAGGGAATCAACATCAGTCGAACATTCATCTCTCAAAAAAGGATAATACGTATGTTGTATGGTCTTCGACGCACAGATTCTTGTAGACCCACTTTTAGGGAAAGAAACATTTTAACGCTACCATCTATATACATTTATAATTGTCTGCTTTTTGTAAAAAAAAGGGGCTTGAGTTTGTAACTGAATCACAGTGTCACAATTACCCAACAAGAAATGGAAATCTAATTAAACTGCAGCAACATCGTACGAGATTGTTTCAAAAATCACCCTCTCTAGCAGGCTCCAAGTTATTCAATTGTCTACTTTCAAACGGAAAGTTAAAATGAACATTTAAGAGGGAAGTTTTTATTTTATCAATTAGTATTTTGAATATACTTCCAAATAATTGTGATTAATGTACTGTAATCTCTATGTTATTTATTAACTCCGTTTCATACATTTAGGTACATGTTTTTTTTACTTGACGTTTCCTATATCATTGTTAAATGATAATTTCAAAGGAATAAGAACAGTATTATTATTATTATGTTGATAACTTCCTGAGATACTCAGGAATCATCATGGCTAGTTGCATTTTCGTTAGCCATGTGAAGTATTAGAATCAACACAACTTGAACTACATAGATTCTCGAGAGTTAGGTTCGAAATCAAGACCCCAGGATCAATAGCTAGGAACTCAACCACTTGTTATTCGTGTAGAAGTATGATATTTTGTAGAATGCTAGTTGGATACGTTTTCATGAATACACCTACCATTCTTAATTTAGAATTGGTCTTATGTTTCGTTAAAAACTTCTGTTTCAAAATGAGATAGCTGTATATTTCTTGAGAAAATAACAGACTCACATAATTTGAGCCACAACTTAGGAGAGAATATATTTTCATTCGAAAACAGATATTTAACAACATTGTAGGAATTTTGACAGAGATGACTGATATGTCTGTGAAATTGTAGATCAGAATCAAAATAGAGCTCTGAATTTTTGCATTATTGACCTGTGAGAGTATTTCGTTGGTGAGTTTTATACTGATCACAGAACTAGCACTCTCTATTTTTTCTTAGGTCCAAGAACTATCACAAAAGACGCTGCACTAGTGAATTTGAAGTTATGAGCCACAGATATATAGCCAAGTTCTTGCATTTTTACTTCGGTGTCAATGCCATCGACTGGTCATTAGCCTCGTGTAGGTTATTATATGTGACATGGGATGATACGAACTCTGTTACATTCAACGTAACCATTGGAGTTCCACAGGGCTCAGTTTTGGGACTAGACAATGTTCTTGAGAAAATAACAGACTCACATAATTTGAGCCTCAACTTAGGAGAGAATATATTTTCATTCGAAAACAGATATTTAACAACATTGTAGGAAGTTTGACAGAGATGACTGATATGTCTATGAAATCGTAGATCAGAATCAAAATAGAGCTCTGAATTTTTGCATTCATTGACCTGTGAGAGTATTTCGTTGTTGAGTTTTATACTAATCACAGAACTAGCACTCTCTATTTTTTCTTAGGTCCAAGAACTATCACAAAAGACGCTGCACTAGTGAATTTGAAGTTATGAGCCACAGATATATCATACAAATATTGAATGTACTCACAGCAATGGATATATTTCCGATTGGAATAGATATATACAATAGGGTATCTTCAGCATAATGCCGAATGTGGCAATTTTTTGAAAACTGATTTGAAATGTAGAGAGAAAATAATAATGTCCCAAGTATGGACCCTTGTGGCACACCGAATATTACAGACAAGACATTTGATGTATGTCCACTCAGCTCTATACGAGAGAGACAGTATTTTCAGAAAAGCCATTACAAAGTGTTTTTTGCTCGACTGTATCGAATGCTTTGCTGAAATCTAGGAGTACGGGAAAAGTAAGGTTACTTTCATCAACTGCTTTGAAAAATTTATCGGTTATCGTACTGTGATGTGCGAGGAAAACAGACTGAACAGATAGTATGATTTGCCAGTACAAATAAAATGCTGTCATCTGATCTTTCAAAATCATCTCAAGTACAACATTGGCAACAAGCTCATCGGTCGTCTAATTCTTTGGGATAATCACACTAAGGGAGTGCTAAAATAACAGCCTGTTTTCATTCATTAGAAAATGTGTTCGTAAGTATGGCTGTATTAAAGATGAAAGTAATATACTCTATCAGATGACTATCAATGAGCCGTATCATCCGTAGTGAAATGATATCCGTGTCTACTTCATGCACAACAGTTTCCACACGTACCGAAGACGTACCTGCGCCTTTGCAAATTGTATACCATAATTTATTTTAATCCTTGTTGAGTATCTACAATGTCTCAATGATGAAACCACTTACCTAGTGGTTCTATCATTAGAATACGATATATCAATTCCATTAAACTGAAATGGGGATATTTTTAAGGATAAATAAGTTTTTGGGGTTTTCTATTTCTCCATCTTCATTGTATCGATTATAAAAACTACTGCACTTTTAATTTCAACTTTTTGTATTACCAACGGTGATCGCAGATGATTTCTAATAAAGGTGTCCAGAGGATTTGCCAAGACTTGAACTCCTCATTTTTTTGAGACGAGCTTTTTATAAATGAAACAATTTCTTCATTATCTATTGAAAGTTCTAGGTCTTCTCGAATTTTTTTTGTCATTGATTTTCCCAACAAAGGTATGACAATTGGTTTCCAGCAGAGATTGGTGAAATTTTCTATCCAATACAACCGATTCAATCGGGTCACTTTTGAGGTGGGTTTTTTGACAATTCCACACCTCCAACACGTTTTTTAAGAACAAAACACAAACACTAAAGTATTCACATTGGATTTGAATCGCTGGAGATTAAATCCATTTGAAAAACGTTCTCAGGAAGTTTATTCCACATAAACGCAGTTCTCCAGATGGAAGTCTTCTTGAACAGTGCTGTCCGTCGCGTATTTCTGATATGCAGCGCTCTTGGTGGAATCAAATGTGCTAAGTCACTTGACCACTTCGTGAGAAAGTATCTATAGAAGAGAGACAAATCTCCAACCTGTCTTCGATGTTCCAGGCTATCAAGGTTGCACGTGATGTTCGCGTCTCCAATCGGGAGGTTAGGTCTTCTCGAATGTCTTTTGTCATTAATTTTCCCAACACAGGTGTGATAATTGGTTTCCAGCAGGGATTGGTGAAATTTTTTATCCAATACGACCGATTCAATCGGGTCACTTTTGAGGTGGGTTTTTTGAAAATTCCACACCTCCAACACGTTTTTTAAGGACAAACACTACAGTATTCACATTGGATTTGAATCGCTGGAAATTAAATCCATTTGGAAAAACGTTCTCAGGAAGTTTATTCCACATAAACACAGTTCTCCAGATGGAAGACTTCTTGAACAGTGCTGTCTGTTGCGGATTTCTGATATGCACCGCTCTTGGTGAAATCAAATGTGCCAAGTCACATGACCACTTCGTGTGAAAGTATCTATAGAAGAGAGACAAATCTCCAACCTGTCTTCGATGTTCCAGGCTATCAAGGTTGCACGTGATGTTCGCGTCTCCAATCGGGAGGATGGGTCTTTTCTGGATGGAATCCAGCAATTTCAGGGTATGTTTGGGGGCAGAGCTCCATACATGAAAACAATACTCCAAAGAAGGTCTGATCTGAGCTTTATAAAGCATCAAAAGTTGCTGAGGTGTGTACAGTTTTCTGGTTCGGAACAGTATTCCAAGCTTTTGGGAAGCAGCCTTTGCAATTCTAGTGACATGATTGTGCCAAGACATATTGGTGTCCATTTTAACCCCCAACAAACTTATCGAAGCAGAAAGCGGAATTGTCTGACCTGACATCATTGTATCCGGTTCGGAGATATTTATCTTCTCGGAGAAAACCGATGCACGGGTTTTTGTGGCATTGAATTGAACCTGGTAACATTCACTCCAATTCGAAATCACTTCTAGATCCTTATTAAAGAATGCAACCTCCTGCTGCCGGTGAAGATGTGCATCCGTAGGCGATGTCCTGGAATCTAAATGGAATGACGAGACAAGTGTGCGGTCGTAAGCAAAGCAATACATTGGATTCTTGTTTTTTTTTACAATAAGTCGTTGGTATACAGGGTGTAACTAAATAAGTGTAAAACATTTAAGGAGGTGATATGCCACCACACGGTCAAAGGCCTTAAAAATATCGAGCGCAACAGCTCTTGATTCTCCATGTTTCTCGATTGCGTTATTCCAAATATGGGTGACATAGGTCGCCTGTTGT